TTTTTTTTATTTATAGTTACACGCGTAGTGTTTGCCATTCAATAGAAAAGCAGGTAGAGATAATAATATAATAATGTTGTTTTAAGTGTGGTTGAGTCAGTTCTGACACATAGTGACCCTATATAGGGTTTCCGAGGAGCAGTTGGTGGATTTGAATTGCTGACCTTGTGGTTCCCAGTCCAGTGCTAATCCTACAGCACCATACCAGGAGCTCAGTAATAATAATAGCAAGTTTAATGATGTATGCTTTTATCAGGGTACACATGGGCAAAAAAATATTACTACAAAATCATAGAAACATGTGTTAAAGAAAAACATCAAAATAGAAGACTACTGTTTCTTGACATATCCTCCATTGAGGTCCAAACAATTCTGAAGGCAGTTTCTATCTCTCTAATCCTTTCCCAATGGATTCTACCCTCTTCAATGTATACTACATCTAAACAGCACTTTGGGTATCTTTGAGGGACTCAAGTTGTGCTGCTTTAAAATATTCTGTGAGTTTGGGGAACAAAAAGAAGTCTGAAGGGGCAAAGTCAGGGGTGCTGCGTGGATGGGATAAAGTTTCTTAAAGAAAATTTTGTAGGCTAGCTCTTGTTGTTGCTGTTAAGTGCCATCGAGTCAGTTCCGACTCATAGCAGCCCTGGATAGGGTTCCTAAGGAGCGGCTGGTAGCTTGAACCACTGACCTTGCAGTTCAAACCAACCTTGAAGGCCAGTGCATTAGTCCACAGCACCACACCAGGACTCCTTGGCTACCCTCAAAGAATGAGCAGGTGGATTGCCATGATAGAAAATAACTCTCCAATACAATTCTCCTGATCTTTTTCTCACAAATGCAGTTTTCAGTTTTCTTAAAATTTCTTCATTCTAAGCTAAGTGATTATCCTGTGACCTTTAAGAAAATCTATCAAGATTAATCGTTGGAAATCCCAAGAAAACAGTCTGCACAATCTTCTGAGTTGACCTCTCTCCTTGAATTTAACTAGCCCAACAGATTCCCTTGGACCTTTTGTTTTTTGAAATAATACCCAAGCCATGGTATATTCAATAGCCTCATTTGCATGTGAAAGTTGGACAATGAGTAAAGAAGACTGTAGAAGAATTAATGTCTTTGAGTAATGGGGTTGGAGAATATTAAAAGTACCATGGATTGCCAGAAGAACAAATAAATCTGTGTTGGAAGAAGTATAGCAAGAATGCTCCTTAGAAGCCAAGATGGCCAGACTTTGTCTCTCATTCTTTAGACATATTATCACAGGAACCAATTCCTGGAGAAGGACATCATGCTTGGTAAAGCAAAGGGTCAGCAGAAAAGAGGAAGGACCACAAAGGGATTGGCATAGTGGCAATAATGGGCACCGCGTACCAACAATTGTGAGACTGGTACAGGGCTGGGCAGTGCTTTGTTCTGTTATGCATAAGGTCCCTCTGAGTTGGTGTTAGCTCAACAGTACCTAAGGAAACTAAGACAAGTGTATTACTGAGAGACCTTGTCTGCAGTCATCCACTGATGGCAATGACCTGTTTAAAGGCATAGTGTTTGAAATAAACCTGTGCAGGTATGAACTAGAACCACACTAACAATAGTTTTTTACTTACCTTCATATTTTGTGTAGAACATTTTAGTAGTTTATGTTTCCTTCTGATTGTTGAAGTCTTCATCCACTATTCTAGAGCTGCAAGTTGGTTTGAACTAAAGGGTCATTGGTTTAAACTCACCAGCTGCTCCTTAGAAACTCTATACAGGATCTCTATGAGTTCAAAGCCATTTGAACTGCAAGGTTGGCAGTTCAAGCTCACCAGCTGCTCCTCGGAAACGCTATCCAGGGTCACTATGGGTCGTAACCAACCCTATGGCACTTAACAACTACAACAACAATGGCACCTAACAACAACAATTTAATAATATTCTGGATAATCTTTAAGTATTTAAGAAAAATAAGACTCCTCTAACAAAACAAAACTACTTTTTTGATAATTAGCATTGTTTTAGCTTCAAAGAACTATCTCAGCTGGTTTAGGTTTCTTATTAAATTTCAAACTTAGAGCAAACGCCCTGGTTGAGGTTTATTTAGGAAAGAATATTTTTTCAACAAAAGCCCTTCATATTCATTATAGAAAGGAGCTCTAGTAGCATAGTGGTTATGAGTTGGGCTGCTAACCTCAAGGTCAGCAGTTCGAAACTACCAGTTGTTCTTTGGGAGAAAGATGAGACTTTCTGCTCCTATAAAGATTTACAGCCTCAAAAACCCTATACAAGGTAATGGAACTGACTCTATGGCACATAACCAACCAACCAAATTTATTATAGAAAACTTGCTGTAAGATAAGCAATGGACTGTGAACCACAAGGTTGGTGGTTCAAACCCACCAGCTGCTCTAGGAAATCCTGTACAAGTTTGCTATGGAATGGAATTGACTGGAAGACCCGATGACAACAATATTTATTATAGATACATGAGAAAGAAAAGTGAGAGTGTGAATTGATTGAATTGTATCAACTTAAAACCTCTTTAAAACTTTCACAGCTTTAAAACTTTACCTAAATCATTTCAAAAGGAGCTCTGGTAGCATAGTGGTTATGAATTCGTCTGCTAACCTCAAGGTCAGCAGTCTGAAACTACCAGCTGTTCTGTGGGAGAAAGTTGAGGCTTTCTGTTCCTGTAAAGATTTGCAGGCTCAGAAACCCTGTGTAGGGTCACTATGAGTTGGAACCGACTCCACCACGGTACTTAACAACAAATAATAAATTTTCTTTGTTGAAGGGACATTTCCCCCTTTGTTCCTCAAATCATAATACTCAAAAGCACAATGTACGAGGTGTAGAAAGATTTACCAGTCAACTGCACTTTGAAAATTAAATGTCTTAGAAGTACATTACCCTCTTCTTAACTGTTGGTGACTGAACAGTGAGTGTATCAACAATTGTGGTGACCCCATGAAGTCTCTGGGTGATACAAATGATTAGCACTCTGGGCTGAAAACTTTTAAACTGAAAGTTTTGGGATTTGAGTCTGCCCAGAGGTGCTTTGAAAGAAATGCTTGGTGAACTACTTTGGAAAAATCATCTGTTGCAAATCTTACGGAGCACAATTCTACTCTGACACACATGGAGTCTCCATGCCAATTTTACTTACACCTGGTGTGGCTCTATAGGATAAGCTCTGAACTGTGAACCACAAAGTTGGTGATTCAAACCCACCAGCTGCTCCTTGGATACCCTATACATGTTCACTATGAGTCAGAACTGACTCAATTGCATTTAACAACAATTTAGGTGAGGTATGGACCTTATGCCTTTGTCGCAAGAAATCCATGTGGAAATCCAGGGATATGTAAGGGTGGTTCTAACCCTTGTCTCTTAGCCTCCTGCCTCCAGTAGAAACTGGGGAAGAAGACTCCACCTCTCCTACAGGGGTTGCACTTATGGAGCTAAAGTAAGTACTGGCTCTCTTGCTTTTGAGCTTTCTGATTCCTTCCTGCAAGTGTATCTGCAGCACCAATCATTCCACCTTTGATTTGTTGATTTTGCACCATTGTTCTCTGGCCCCTTTGTTCCTAGGGCTTTGTTTTTGTTTGTTTGTTTGTTTGTTTTTCACCAAGCAGATTCTTGACAAAAGGTGGCTGAATTTCTTTCTGGGGCTTTTTCTTTCTTTCTTTCTTGGAGGGTTGATAGTGGAGGCACTGTGGCCTCAACATTAATTTAAGACAGAAATCTTTTTAACTCTTGGATTTCACTCTGAGGCCTGAGTGAGGCACCTTTTACCCTAAGACCATGAGGAATCATCTAGGAGATGCAGTTTGTATGCAGCCATCTGGGCCAGAGACAGGGGTACTGAAGGGAACAGAATGTGCAGAAATATTCTGTGCCTTAAATCATTCGTATTTTATGAGCTGGTCGTATTCAACTTGATCATTTTGCTCGGCTCTACTTGGATGGGTCCATCAAATAAAGCAGAAGTGGTGTGGCACTGTAGGATAAGCTCTGTATCAGGTATACAAGGTAAGCATATAAGGTTGGCTATTCAAACTAGCCATTGATGAATCACAAAGGACTCCACAGCACTTAACAACAAATGGTTTTTCTCCTCTCCGGAAAGAAGCCACGTCCTACGAACTATTCCTACACGAAGTTCTAGACACATCTCGAATGATACAGAAGCTAAATCTTACTGAACAGACACACCCTCCATTATTGTTAAATCTAACCCTAAGTGGCCCCGCGGTTTGCTCAGAGAGCTGAAAGACAAGCCTAGCGCGTCTGTGTTCATTGGGTTGCGAGACAGGCGCAGGGTGACCCTGTCAGACCGGGGTGAGTCTGAGGAGCGAGTCAGGGTGAGGGGCGCGGTACTGGGGCCAGTCAGCCGAGCCCCTGCTTAGTCTCTGACCCCTGGCCGCGTCCCTCGCCTGGGACCCGCGGAGCTGAGCTGCAGCTTGGTCATGTGAGGCGTGCAGGACTGTGGGGACGGCGTTCGGCAGAATGGGCGCCTTTGTCGGATTGCAGGGCTGGGGTCCTAGAGCCTGAGGGGGCTGCAGGGGCTTGGCAGCTGCAAGGGCTGAACGTATCCCGGACTGACCCCGAGTTCAGGACCTAACTGAGTGCCCGTAGGACCAGCTGTTCTCTGGGAGCCGAAGGTGAGTCTTGGCGCGAGGGCTCTGTCCGTCCCTCATCCTTGGGGACCCCTAGCCCCCAAAGCTCAGACCGGCAATTTGGGGAAGCATGCGACTAGGGGATCTTGCATAGGACGGGTTGGGGGCAACTCGGGAGTGCCCGCCCAGAGGCGTATTTGCTGATCCGTTGGCAATGAGCGATCTCTCACTCCCTTCCCCGGGGACGGGAGGCCTGGGTCGGAACCTAAGGCCCTCAACTGGCTCTGAGCGCCGCCACCTTCCGCGAGCTGGCTAAGGCTGGGAGAAAGTTTGCGTCTTTAGGTTTAGCGGTTCCACTTTTCGCTTATCTCTGCCCCATAGGTGCCAACGCTCGCCCTCTAGGCACTTCAGCCAACCATGGAGCCCCCGGTGCAGATATTCCGCGGAGACCCGGGTCCCACTTGCCCCCCGAATGCCTGTCAGCTCCCCAATAGCAGCGGCTGGTCCCCAGGCTGGGCAGAGTCGGATGGCAACGGAAACGGCAGCACCGGGCTTGAGGACGCGCCGCTGGAGTCCGCGCAAATCTCCCCGGTCATCCCCATCATCATCACGGCTGTCTACTCGGTGGTGTTCGTGGTGGGCTTGGTGGGCAACTCTCTGGTCATGTTCGTGATTGTCCGGTGAGCTCGGTTCCAGAGGGTTGTGAGGAAGCCAGCTGGGGGTAGGGACTGCATTCCATCAGGGCGCTGGAGATTACTTCCAGCCCACCCCTGCCATCCAGTCGATTCCCACTCATAGCGAACCTGTAAACCTGTGAACCTTAAGGTTTCCAAGACTGTAAATCTTTACGGGAGCAGGCGGCCCAATTTTTCTCCCCAGAACTGCTGGTGGGTTTGAACCTAGAATCTTGAGGTTCGCAGCCCAGTGCTTAACCCACTGCTCCACCAAGGGTTCTTACAAGAAGGCTGGAAATATTTTCTTGAAGAGCTTTTTTAGCAGGAGGCTTTGAGGTTCCCACAGGGCAAAATCAAGCAACCCAAGGTGTCTGAAAGAATGAGGAGGGGCCCTCTGCTCCTTAACCCCTGCTGAAACCTGACCTGAATGGGCAGGGAAATACCAATATTTTGACTCTTGGTGGTGGTGTAGGAGAATCACTGGACTGTTGGCTACAAAGTTGGCAGTCCGAACCCACTAGCCACCTGTTAGAAGCATGAGACTTTCTGCTCGTGTAAAGATTTACGGCTTCAGAAACCCTATATAGACAGGGCCTCGATGAGTCGAAATTAACTCATTGACAATGGCTTTGGGTTTCTGTCTGGTTTCTTAGAAAGGAAAAGAAAAGAGTCCATTTGTGTGGTCTTCTCTGGTTATTGGTTGTGTCACTTTGGAGTACTTTGTTTTGCCCTTTGCAGATATTTTTCACTCTACATCTCAGGCCTGCTGAATGCTGAAAATAATTCAAAATTCCCTGTGACTTATTACATGGTTGTTACAGTGTAAGAAGCAAAGACCACTATACTATTTATACATTTATAAATCTTTTTAGTATTGACAAAGAACCTCAGTGTTGCAGTGTGTAAGCCCTGGGCTGTTAACTGAAAGGTCACTGGTTTGAACTCACCAGCCACTGCTGGGGAGAAAGAACATCTGCTTCCATAAAGATTATATAGTCTTAGGAACCTTATGGGGCAGTTATATTCCATTCTCTAGTCACTATGATTTTGGATCGATGACAACGAGTTTTTTATTTATTTTTATTTTTAATACTGAAATGTCTTATGATTTGTGTAGAATGACATTCACATTCAAAACTCTAAATTATGGTTTTGTTTTTAAAAAAACAGCTATTAATTTCTTTTTTTCCATCATGAGGAACTGATGATCTTATCTTAATTGTTCGTTTGTGGAATTTTATTGATGTCAACTTCTAGTAATTAAATATGTCTAGACATATCCATATACATGCTAATTTTCTGGTTATGAATTCTAGTTACAGATTCTGGTGATAGATGCTGATTTGGATTTCTTAAAAAAAATCTCAACATGAACTTTGAGATTATATATTTTACTTTTTGAGATATAAATCTTTGGAAATGCAACTTTGATAAAGAATGAGAAGTTTGCATTTCTTTGGGAAGGATGCAAGCTACCCTGTTTAGGAATATTTAAAGGATAAAGACACCTGTTTTGTTTTTTCTTATCCTGACCTTATTTTAAAAACTGGTCATTTCTTTATTATGAACTGCATGAACAGTATCTATGGTAGCATGGATTTTATACAGAACATTTTATAATCATCATCATAAAATATCCTGTTTACTTTCACTTTTTGGTTTGGGACTATCAGATATTTTCCACCATCTATGCTCTGATTTTAAAATCATAATTTAAAATTCCAAACACATATTTTAAAACCTATTTAACCTATAATTTGTGTTTGTAGTAGCCTGATGCCCCGGGCTTCCATAATTGCTTATTGCATGTTATAGGAATCCTATCAGGGATAATAAGTAAAGGCTGTTGGAAGGGGATACTTTAAAGACAGATTTCTTATCTCATGGCTGATCTCCATTAGAGAACAGATTACAGAACATCATGAGAAAATATATCTGTCAATTTAAATTATATTTGTAATTATTGTGACACCTTTGATGCAAAAGTATTCTTAAAAAATAAAAATGTGCAATAAGGAGGATGCTAAGAAAAAAACAAAAACAAATTTGTTTCTATGAATTATATTTAGGTACTTGAGTAAAACAGTTCCATCTTATTACTACTTGATAATGCAATCAAACCCCACTGCCATCGAATTGATTCAACTCATACAAGCCCTATATAGGATTTCTGAGACTATACATCTTGATAGGCGCGGACAGCCTCATCTTTCTCCCAAAAGTGGCTGGTGAATTTAAACTGCCAACTTGTGGCTAGTAGCCCAATACCCAGCCCACCGTTCCACCTTGCTGTTACTGTTGTTCTTAAGTACTGTCCAGTTGATTCCTATTCAAAGGAACCCTGAGTAGGGTTCTCTGAGGAGCAGCTGGTGAATTTGAACTGCCTAGCATAGTGATTATGAATCGAGCTGCTAACCTCAGGGTCAGCAGTTCGAAACTACCAGCTGTTCCGTGGGAGAAAGATGAGGCTTTCTGCTCCCATTAAGATTTACAGCCTCAGAAACCCTGTGCAGGGTTGCTATGAGTCGGAACTGATTCCATGGCACATAACAACAACAACCACCTTGTGGTTATGAGTCCAGTGCTTTTCCTACATAGACACACCAAGACACCTAGAATACCTGAAATTTTAAGTTTGAGAAAGTTGCTTTACAACGTATTATGTGGTCTGGAGATAAAATGAATAAAATGAAGAATCCTAAAATAAATGAAAAGATAACTCAGTAGAAGACATTAGAAATGTCAAAAAGAAAGAAAAAAAAATCTTTCTGGGTTAATAAGGACTTTTTATGGTGGTAGACCCAGGAAGTAGACCCAGGTTCAATTCCTGATCTATCCATCCACCTCATGATTAGTCTGTTAGTGGAAACTTGCATGATACTATAAAGCTGAGCAGATTTCATCAGAGAATCTAAACTAATACAATGTAGGAAGACAGGACTAATGATCTATATCTAAAATATCAGACAAAACTCTGTGGATCCCAAAGGCCCAATCCTGCTATGCATGGTGTCTCCATGAGTCAGAGGCTGGCTTAATGTCAGCTAACAGCAATGGAATTCTACTAACTCTTTTAATCCCTTTGTATATTCCCCAGATATTCCAAATTAACATTTGAAGGATGGAAATAAATTCAACTAAAAATTTCAAAGAAATTAGATAAAATACTGGTCACAAGAAAATCCTTTGGCCTTCTACCATGTTGTCTTACTTGTTGTTGTTGTTAGCTGCCATTGAGTTGGTACTGACTCATAGCAACCTTATGCACAGCAGAATAAAACCAACCTCACTACTGTTGCCACGCTTGAGTCCATCGATGCTGCCACTTGGCCAGTCCATCTCGTTGGGGGTCTTCCTCTTTTCTCTGACCCTCCACCTTACCAAACATGATGTCCTTCTTCAGCGACTGGTCCCTCCTGACAATATGCCCGAAGTATGAGAGATGAAGTTTGGCCATCTTGGCCTCCAAGGAGCACTCTGGCCGCACTTCTTTCAAAACGGATCTGTTGGTTCTTCTGGCAGCCCATGGCGCTTTCAATATTCTCCTCCAACACCATAACTCAAAAGCATCAATTCTTCTATGGTCTTCCTTATTCACTGTCCAGCTTTCGCATGCATATGAGGTTATTGAAAATACCATGGCTTGGGTCAGGCACACCTTAGGAGATTGTTAAATGAAAAGTGAATTGACAAATGAAAAGTGAAGAGTTTAACTATTGTTTTGAAATGCCAACCTATTGAAATGTTAGGTGAAATCTTGGAGTCCTGGTGTGATGCTGCAAGATAATCCACTGGAACTCAAGGTCAGTTTGAACTGCAAAATTGGGGACTCAAGCTTAACTACCAGTCACTCCTCAGAAACCCTAGACAGGATCGCAATGAGTCAAAATCAACTTGACAACAGTTAACAACAACAAGATGGTTAAGGGGTATTTCAACTTTCTTCAGACTGATAGACAGTCAAATAATTAAAAATAAAACCTCAGAAGGAACATTAATGGACTTGAATTTATTGAGCTCAGTAGAAAAAAGGACTGAAGATTTGAGAAAAGGTAGCATCAGGAGACCCCCTGTTAAGACTGTCAGATCTGAGAGTGGAACAGGAAGCATGGGATTCAAGCGCAGCTTTTATAAACGACATTGAGGCTGGTTGACATTATTTGAAAAGTGGGAGGATCATTTTTAAGAAGGGCATTATTTTAAAGTTTTATACATAGAAAAATTTCTTAAGCTTAGCTCCGTCTTAGAGATCATTATAGAAAGAGACTTTGAATGCTCAACTGGCTAGATAGATGACGGTGTAGGATGGCTGGTTCCAACTTGGAGAGAAGTTTAGCGTTATGTAGAAAGTTCTATTTTCAGGATTGCCTTATAAATAGCTTTTCTGAACTTGGACACCTGGAATGCTGCCTAGTGTTTCGTGAAAGTATTCACATTTTCTAGAAATTTCATTGTTTCAAGTATACTGACTGCCATAATTTATTCATATTTTTGTTGCTAATTGAGTTCATTCCAACTCATGGCAGCCCATGTTTGCAGAGTAGATCTGCTCCATCAGGTTTTCAAGGTGTAACTTTTTGGAAGCAGATCACCTGGCATATCTTCTAAGATGTTGTTTTGTTGTTGTTAAGTGCTGTCCAGGGGGTTCCGACTCCTAGTAATCTTTTATAGGGTTCCCAAGGAGCGGCTGGTAAGTTTGAACCACCAACCTTGTGGTTCAAACCAACCTGCGGTCCACACCAGGACTCCATCTTCTAATATACCTCTAGGTAACTTTGATCCTCCTTTCAACTAGGAGTTGAGCCCTTAACTGTTTTAGCCACCCAGAGACTGTTCCTATCAGTACACATTAACCTGTAATGAATTTAACATGTTAAATATTCCACCTTCTCCTATCTTTGGTCCTTGTTAAGCTAGCACTTACTAACCTAAGACTGGATCCAGCTTCTTAGGTTCTAAAACTGGATCCAATTTCTTAGGTTCTGACATCTCTTTTGGTATGTCCA